CATATGTAAGCGCCTTCATGTCCCTGTTTCAGCTTTTGATTCATAGGACCTAATTGTAATTTACTTAAAGTCTCTACCCCAAAATGAATATGGGTCATATGTAACATGCAGGTTTCTTTACTATGCATGCATACATCCCGCCTTTGTGAATATTCATAGCTCCTCCTATATCTCCTTGAATATGTATACTTGGCCAACTGTTTCAGCATAAATTCCTGTTTTATCTCTCCTCCCTCAGAGTACCTGTTCTCAGACTCTGCTGGAGGCTGTGCTTCCCAGACTGTCAGGATGGCCACCCTGCAGGCTATAACTCATTATAAGAAATAAAGCTCTTCTCTCCAAATCTGTAGATCTCATGATTTAAGTTAACAATAGAATGTTATACTATTGCTGACTAATACCTGTTTTGCTTCTCTAGAGGAGAATTACTCTTCCCTGCCCCATTGTAATCAGGCTTGGCCATGTAACTTACCAGTGAAAAGTGAGAGAAATATTATGTGCCAGTCCACTAAAAAGCTCTAAGAGCCTTTTTTCCTCTTCCATAGATTTCTCCAGCTAATGGTTGCTTCGTCAGCCTAGTCCTGGAGTTAAATTAAGATGAAAGAAAAACCACAGCTGATATGTAGTATGAGTGAGAAATAATTAGATATTGCAAAAGCCACTAGGATTTTAGAAGTTGTTTATTACTGCAATATAACCTAGCCTAACCTAACTGATAAACAACGTAAATGAGATTCCCTAAGAATCAAAAGTAAAGAAAGATCAGAGAATGACCTTGTACAGAACTTATTCAGACAATTCCGAATTTGTCATTTCATAGAAGAACAAAAAACACAACTTAGTTACACTTGCCTAGTTTCTTTGAGTATAAATTTTAAATTTTTGCCATTAATTTTTCTAAATAAAAAACTTGGTATTTAAAAACATTTGCTAGATTGGACAATTATTCTGACTATCTTTGGAAATGCTCTATGAAATATTGTGTGATGAACAGTAACCACTCTTAACAATTTAGAGTGCTCAATATATTTTTTTAAAATATTACTTTTGCCTGTAAACTTTTATACATGTAAATTCACCAACCTAACACTCTTCATTAGATCACAAGAACTAAAATTGTTCTTTAATGTTAGGAAGTGTGTTTTTGCCTTGAGATAGATGAACTAGGCATTCTTTCTATGAATAGTCAGTGGCTGAGCACTGAATACGATTTTCTGCTCAGCACTCTAGCAGAGTGGCATAATGAGAGAGAGAAAAAGGCAACACAAAACCCAAGATCATAAAGTTAGCAAATAGGAGCTAACCCCATGGTTTAGACATATGTGTCACCCTAAGGCAGCAGATAAAACCTTATTATTTATACTAATAAATAATATATGACTTGAAAATTTAAGAGGAATTATTAATCAAAATTGTCTTTATACCAATCAAGTAGGTTTACTATGAAAATTTAGTTTTTGTGAGTATTCATTCTATCTCTTGTATTTTAGAGAAAACCGCCAAATCAATTTTCTAATTAAAGTCCATACTATTTCTTGCCCTTTTCACTATTGTTGCCCCAACCCTCTCAAGGGGTTCTCATTTACCAAAGTATGACACGTTTAGCATTTTTCAAAGGAATTAGTTTGGGTTTTTTAAATATATATAATTGGATTAGTTTTTTTCATATAATTAGATATTTTATGAAAATGATTTGATAAATTAGTAAAATGTGATTTCATGTGTCTCTATCTTTTATATATGGACAAGCCTACAAATCACAAAACATTCTTGTGCATTACCAGAAAAACTGTATTTTTTTATTATTAAAAAATGCATGATCTTTGATTCTAGAGTCTTATCTACCTCTTCTCCTTCTGCCGAGTATTTAACTATTCTACAAAATTAACTCAGAGTCCTTTTTTTCTAAGATGGGGTCTCACTTATTTTGCCCAGTCCAGTCTCAAAGTCCCAGATGCAAGGGATTGTTTGGGCCTCAGCCTTCCAAGTAGGTGGGGCTATAGCCACATGCCACTGTGCCAGGCTCAGACTCATTTTGTTTCAGAGCGGTACTAATCAGTGGGAGGAAGCACATAGCAATAAAAAGAACATGTAATTGCTTTAAGAAAACTCAAATTTATTAGTCTAGATGCCTCAGGTTTATACTGCAATACAAATAGAATAAGGGTCTGTGAAATGGGTGTCTTTTCTCATAGGCAGTTTTGTGTAAATTCAGTTTAAAGAGAATTTGGCTCAAAATATCTGATGAGTGTGCTGGAACTCTCAGTCTCTCAACCTATATAACTTGCTTGCTTGTTTTGTTTTGTTTTTTCCTGATATAGGTCCTGATGGATTAGGAAAGCAAGGTCTTTCCTAACGTCCATCACTTCCTTCTTTTGGCTTTAGAATATTTGCACTAACTTTACAGACTTTACTATCTCTTCTGCTCTTTTGAAATTTTCTCTAGCTTCAGCTTGGAAGGGTGTTTCATCATCTCAACACTATTTCCACTGTTAGGTAAATTCTGGCATGTTTATGTTGTCTTCAAAAGACCAGTGCAAAGTTTGTTAACATTTCAGCTTCTAAAAGGACAGAGCGTGGAAGACTGCCACCCTTCAAAGTTGTAAAAGAAAATAAAATGTAAGGACCCTCTAAATTTATTATGCCAAGGGTAGTGGGGGGCAGGTTAAGCACTGGAGACTGAGTCACATAACATGTTTGCAATTTCTGCTTCTTTAGGGTTGATTCTCTTCCTCATTGTTCTTGTTCTATAAATGACTAGGAGAGACCAGATACCAGACTGCCTCCCCCTTCCAATTACTGATATTTGTTATAGATTAACGGCATCCTTTATTGTCCTGTATGTAAGACTAGATGGTGCAAAAGACCCCATAAGAATTATATCCTCAGTATAAAATGTTAAATATACCCTTCCCAAAAGAATAAGACCACCCCAACCAACGTCAGATTATTGTTAACTAAGCATTAAGCCTTATGTAGAAAGAGGTGTTGAAATTCTGTTAAACTTCCCTAAACTTTGTCGATAAAAATGATACTAAACTTCTACACTTTGGAACACTGACTTCCATTCTTTGGAATACTGACTTCCATTCTTTGGAATCTGTATTTTCTGGGCAGCCACCCTCCAACTTTATACTTGGATAAACTCTCTTTAAACTAGATTCTGACCCTTTGGATTATTCTAGGTTGACACATTCTAGTCTCTAAGTTAAGAGATGAAGGTATGTGGTCACAACTCATTTACTTAACAGAGACAACACACTTGGGGGCTTTTCTTAACCCAAGTTAGCAGTTGTACCTACCATACATATATTTTTAAATGATGTGCATCCTTAATGAAACAAATATTTTCATATTTTAAAAAAGTCAAGATAACCCAAACATGAATTCTTGATTACAAAAGTCTAAAAGTAGAAAAAATTGGGAGCAAGGAAAAATGTCACTTTAACCCTTTACATCAAACTCATCTCTTTGTTCTTCCTACCTACTACCTTCTTTGCATCCAAAGGCTTCAGGATTTTTCTGCACTTCTCTATGCCAAATGCTGCTTTGGTGATCCCCTACTCATTCTCTTTCAGTCCTCAAAATAAAGCCTTTAGTCTTAGATTATTAGAGAAAAGACCAGTGCTTTCCCTAAAAGGTTTTACATCTAAATTAACACAATGGCACAATCCAGCTCTTGCCCTGGATAACAAAGAGGTGAGTATGACAAGCTTGTCTTTTTTTCCTCTTTAGTATGTGGTGGCACAAACTTGGCTATATCAGAGAACCAAACCAAAGGAGTGAAATAAGCCTCAGTCATTCAACAGACATTTTACTCAGCATTTATCCCATGCCAGACCAGGTGCCAGCATACAAAGATGAGACATGTGTTCAGGCTGAGGGAGGACACAGGGTTCTTAGGGAGGGCAGCATGATGCATCTACCAGCAATACCTGGGTAAAGAAAACACAAAATGCCATAGGAACTCAGAACATCACTATCCCTTACAGATTCACTTGCAGCATTCCCAATCCTTGGAACAGCCGATACGTGTCCAGTAGATGTTACACTGTGTAACAAGGTTGTTGTAATCTATCCTATTCGTTCACTGTTTATTTTCTATTTTCATCAATCATACCCAGAAGATTCTCTTTTAGTTAAGACACTACCATTGGTGATGATATGAACGTTTTCTCACCATTGCCATTCACATGGACTGGAAAACAATTGATGTGTAACAGTTTCTGTGTTCTAGAAAGTGATTTATTAGGGGTATATCCATGAATCACACAGGAATATTTTCTCTGTAGATTTTGAAAACCAGTGGTCTTATATTTAAAATGTCAGCTTAGGGAAACCTCACTAGCTTCCCCTATTATGAATAAGCTGGTCGTTGGCAGGAGCTATCCCAAGGGGCCATTGAGAGGCCATTATTTCACCGTGAAGACTCTGTTAAAAAGAGTAATTGGTATCAATAACACTTACCTGTGTTTGCAGAGGGAAGGTTACCCAGCCATAACAAGCCCAGTATCACACAGCCACTACTTAAAACAACGCAGTATTTGGAATTTATGAGAATAAAGCCTGCCTGTAATAATGCCCTTATTGGGGCCTTCTCGATTCATTTAGCATACTTTGTTGTGTACTCACAGTTATATCAAATCTGCCATGCAGTTATAAGCTAAGGTGCTGCATACAAGATGCAAATACTGCACACTGAAAAGGTTCATTTCTCAAAAAGAGTTATGGGGTACATGGCTTCAAATGCCTTTTATGACTATTCCTCTGAAACAGCCACAGGACTCTTGCAAAATGCAAAATCTGGAATATAATTAGTGATTATCTTAATCTCATAGGGGTTTGGAAAAATGAGAGGAAACAATTACCATTATAGAGAAAGATGGCTCAAGCATGAATCAATGTGGCAGGCACATAAGTAAACAGACGTGGGGCTAGACAAGGGAGGGAACCCCCAGTGACGACGAGGAGGACAACAACAACAAAGATCATTGCTTAACCTGTTTTGTCAGAGCTGGTATTGATGGTATTGGTAGTGATGGAGGTGAAGGTAGTCTTTGCGCTGTCCTTGGCAGTTACAGATTTCTGCTTATTTTTCATGGCTTCCAGTGCTTTGAGCTTCTTGGCATGTTTCGTGCCTTTGTAGTGGGCCGCAGCCTGGCTCTACAAAGGAGAACAAAATGAACCATGCAATCAGGCTCATTTCTAAACTGGCATTCTCTGTATTACTGCAAATACAGACTCCCTTTCAATAACAGGTACCATTCGAGCTAATTCTGGCCGTGGCCAAACAGTGGGGTTCTATTTAGAATGATGCTAGAAAGCAATGGGAATCTAGTTCTAAAACCTCAGGATAGAAGGAAGAAATATTCTATTGTTTATCTTAAGAGAAATGTAGCTGAACACTGACACGTCAACAACATTTTCTTTGTGGGAGTGGGGAAAAAAAAATAAGAATTTACACCTGTATCGTCTTTGTTCTGCCACAGAAGATGCTGGGCTCCCAAAGATTAACAAGAGCCCTAGAAAAGAGTAGCTTTCACCTTCTAGGCTTGGAAAATGCATTTTCTGTTTCTACAGTGTGTCTTATAATACAGTCCCCAACAGGTGTCTACAAGGAAAGGTTCACAAAACAGGGGAAGTAAGCACCCTGGAGACTGAAATTGAAGCTTTAGAGTTCAAAAGAAAATGCACTGCTTAAGTTCAAATGGAACATACAGAAGCTGGGCAATTTCAGATTCTTTCTCCTCGCTTCTTACCGAGGGTAGTCTGAGAAGTTCAACTTAGTGTCATTTTTTTCAGCACATGGATCTTTCACACCCCAGTCCATCGTCAGGAGGTTCCAGTGTGTTTGGACTACCTAATGGGGACAACCCAATTCTTTTGCTTGGCCTTCTGATATTGATATATATATATATATATATATATATATATATATATATATATATATAGTTTAGAGTGATATGCATTTTCTCATGTTTTATTTTCTTAAGAGCATTTGTGTGTGTGTGTGTGTGTGTGTAGGGGAGCAGTATAGTGAAATACATTAATTGCCGGGCGTGGTGGCTCAAGCCTGTAATCCAAGCACTTTGGGAGGCTGAGGTGAGTGGATCACGAGGTCAAGAGATCGAGACCATCCGGGCCAACATGGTGAAACCCCATCTCTACTAAAAATACAAAATTTAGCTGGGTGTGGTGGTGCACACCTGTAGTCCCAGGTACTCAGGAGGCTGAGGCAGGAGAATCACTTGAACCTGGGAGACAGAGGTTGCAGTGAGCTGAGATCACACCACTGCACTCCAGCCTGGTGACAGAGCAAGACTCCATCTCAAAAAAAAAAAGAAATACATAGAGATAGAAAATCATATTTAAATAAATGTATGTTTATTAATGTTTATTTATTGGGGGAGAAAAGACTTTGCAGTTGGTGGGTAGGGTAAGGGTGACCAGGAAGATTCTTTAATTAGGTTTTCCAGGTCTTAACCTTTCCAAATGTCCCCCACAAAAGGATATCTCAGTAGAGGATTATTCCTGTTAGATTATCCATTACTTCCCATTGCTTGTTTAAACTAAATATTTCACTTTGCCAAAAAATAATAATCACATTGTCCTCTTCATTACAGCAACTGTGATAACTAGGGTGTTGCAATATAATATATTTTAACAAATAATTAAACAGTCCACATCTTCATTTGCATCATTCTAGCAAGATATCCTCAAAGGACTAGGTACCCTTATTGAAAGAACACTGGACAAGGAAATTATATATTAGAAACAGTTTGAACAGAGAGCACACTCATGCATCAGTTACAAGTTTTCCAACAACACATAACATCAAAAGACATAGTGTGAGCCAAAATATGAAGTTAAGACATGCTATAGTTAATTGAGGAACCAGTGATAGATTGGATTAAGTTGATTCTACATGGAGAATGTCACTTTGAGGACAAAATTTTGTCTTTTATTTTTTCCCTGACTAATTCTCATTTTTAGTATATCAAGTCCTTTGGCCATAACTTTTGAGAACGATACGCTGTATTCAATTAAAATCACAGAGTAGTCGGTCATCTTCTTTAGGCATCTGGCTGTAACATTTCCCTTAAAGCAGAGTTTCTCTTCTCTTTGCAAGTAACCCTTTCCTTGGTGATACAAGTTAATGTTTAACAGATAATATATATTAAAAGATGGGGGGTGAGATTAACTGTGCTATCTCCATTTATACCTCCAAAATATACATTTCACAGGTTCCTAACAAATCTAACATTCTCGGTGACATTTAAAATTAAACAATACTTTGTTTTAACATATCATAGGACCAGGTGATTATCACTATTTTTAAAATTAAGAAACTTACTACAAAAGAAGCCCACAAGTTAAGAAAGTCTTACACCAAAAAAAAAAAAGAAAAACAAAAAGAAAAACAAAACAAACCCAAATACCAAACAAACAAAAACCTCTCTGCACAGGCACAACCAAACCAATGCCCTCTAACAAGTGAAACAGCTCGGAGAGTTGCGGGAAGAACAGAGTGACAAAATGGCCAGAAGTTGACAGGCTCCCAACAGACACACTAAATATCTTAAAATGCAAAATAAGACAAAATGAAATGCATACTCGCTCGTTTATTGAATGACAGTACCAAAACACCTTGATATTAATTATTTTAATTATAAATTATCTGATTTAAAGGCAAATAAGTCTTTCCCAAATTAAAAATAAATAAATTATATGAGGGTCCAAGGCATTATAGATAAACCAAGAAATGTAGAATTTAGGAGAAAATGAGTATAGTGGGGTGATGGTTGCAGAGGACATCAATATCAATATGATTGTAATTGTGCAGGGTATGTGTGTTGGGGTGGAAGTGGGCATACAGGTTGGAAGGCTAATAGAGAGAGATAACCCTTCTAGATATTTTAAATTTTCTTTATCATTGACTTTTATGTAATGTTTATATTGTGCTCGCTTCGGCAGCACATATACTATGTAATGTTTATAGAGATTATTGGACTGTTCCTAGATTATCCTACCATAATTTTTTCTAATTTATCTATAGTGACCCCATAACTCTAAGTCTACCTTGATTCAGGTATGCTGTATAACAGTGTATTCCCTATGTGAAGGCAGAAAACGCAGCCAGTCTCCTTCCCCTTTAGGCCACTTGATAGATGCAGATAGACACACAGATTAAAGCAGATAGATTATTCATCCATATTTTATTTTTCTGTGACTGTAAAAAAGCTGCAGCCTAAGAAAGAATTTTTCTGAGAGATTTCTTTAAAGCACCAGTTGGCCTGGGATGTCTCTTTGGGCCTCCTCTGCTTTTCTTTTGAGCAGAGAAGTGTAGGATAGTTATACCATATACTAGCACAACAAATTCCCTATGAGATTGTGTCCTATTATTTATCAGCAATTTTCTGAGGCAAGTCATTCCCAGACACCTGGGAATTCCCAATACACATGCAAATAATTATTTTTCACAGACATGACTTCTAAGTTAAATAAGTATCTGTACTAATTCATTGCACCATATTTCAGAATTTCGTATTTTAAAACTAAAGCAAAACCGAGTGATCATGGTACATATGGATGTGAGCAAAACAGTAAGACTTGAGCTTTAACAACTCACTTTTTAATTAAACTGAATTAACTTTAGCCTAAACCTACCTTCCTACCTATCTTAAATTTGGCCTAAAAGTTTCTGCATACATAGTAAACTGTAACCTAACTTGATGTGTACACAGACTGTTACTTACTGTATAACAAGTAGAGGAGTCTAAACCAATCACAGCAACTGAACTTAAGTCAACCACAGGCGGCCAACGGTTGAAACCAAGTTCAAATAGGACAAACCGGGAGCGTTAACCAATCAGGCTATCTCTGTACCTCATTTCTGCTTGCTGTATGTCACTTTCCTTTTGGTGTCTATAAATGTTATTCAGGCACGTGAGAGCCCTGGAGTCTTATTAAACCTTTCCTGGTTCCAGAGGCTGTCAAATTCTTGGATTGTTCTTTGCTCAATTAAACTCTGCTAAATTTAATTTGTCTATAGTTTTTAACACTTTAAATAATAAGTGGAATATTAGCACATTGTGTTATAAAATCCACTATGCCAATCTTGAAATAGCACATGGCACCATTAAATCTAATAAGTGTCATCCCAGAGGCAAATGCTGACATTAAAGATATGCACACACGCGTTCCTGTAGAACAGAACGCTATTTTAGATGTAATCACCACATTTTAGTCATCAGTAGCCAGCCACTTTTCAATCTTCAAATTTTATCTTCAATATTTCAAAATGGTTTTTAGTTGAAATGCAACTGAAGTTTCAGTAGATAAAAATAAGTCTTAATTAGCTAACATTTGAGAGAGGGGTTTTGTCATTTTGAAACATGCACATGCACATTTATCTCATTTGGCTAAGTAAGAAACTTCTGTATAAATTGTTATTGCCCTATAAAATTCACTGAGAAGTTACTCTTTAGGTATTTCTTTTATTCCATTAGCACCAATACCTTGTATACTTTTTACATCTCTTTTACAAAACATGTCTTACGCTTTTTAAAAACTCAGACATTTATTATAAGTATATATATCCAGTAACCATAACTAATTAATTTTCATGAACACAAATAATTTCAAAAAGAACAAGGTGGCCTTTTTAGCTTGTGATATTATGTAATTTTATCATACATTAAATTTGTATTAAAAGAAAATAAACATTATCACATTGATGGAATTCAGGACATGCCACCCCAAAATATGACTGGAGTGAAACTGCCTTTGCAAAGATTATGAAAGCAAGAGAAGTTCAGCACGACTGACTCCATCTTGCTTATAACCTCGCAGGTGGGCCATTTTAGCTCATTCCTGGGCGTGAGCCAAGCTAACCATGGGAGAAATTTAATTTATAGTTTAACATTGAAGCAAGGATAATAGTCCCTTCCTAAAATTGATCCCCGCCTTGTTCAGGGCTGAAACCACCTTTGTAAGACCTACAAAAGGCCACAGGATTAGGATTATGGAAGGAACCTGAATCCTGCTAAAATGTAGGCTTAGTTACTATAATCCCTTACTGCACAGGAGTCATGTGGCCAGAGGTCACAAGATTTGTGACTTCCCTAATTGCTCCTATAGATAACATCAGTATTGTAGAACCT